TTATCCATCGTGTAAAGAACTGGGACAGTCCCCTACACTTCACCGGGTTTTGATTGTGCTGACATGCCAAACAAATGCTGGGTGAGGCACCGCCACGTATATGCCGAAGAAGTAAACGATGCCCATGGGGCCCATCCTCGGTGCTCTGCGAACTGCGAAACCTTCAACATGGCGACTCCAAGTGCGAGACTCTGCAACCTTATCTGGAACCTGGTCAGGCACAACCTCCATGGCTCCCTATGCTGCCCCCTTACACTTCAAGCAAGAGGAAACTCGCCCAAATTGGTCTAAAAAGTGAGGGCTCAGCTGGCTCAAAAGGGAATCCACCAACCCTTGTCCAAGGGACCCCCCTGCTCCGGAGGTGCACAACTCACGACTCACTTTGTGCGTGGCGATTTTCACAAAGGCCGAACGCAGAATCCGAAAGCGGTTCCGAGCCTGTTGAATGAGATCTTGCACAAAGGAGAGGGCCTGGGCACGAGTAAACTGAGTAAACAATTTCAACTGGCTTGTCCAATTGATCCGCTGCAAAAGAACACTTTTTGCGAGTAAGTGGGAAAACGAAACGCTCCAAGGATTTTGTTGGGTCAGCAGAACAAATATGACAAGCTGCACCGCACCGGGAGATTGTGTACCAACGCTTGCGATGGTATCTGCCAAAGAGGTTCACTCAAAAACAGCCATATCTGGGGTACTGGGTGTGCCCCCTCTTCAAATAGAAGGCAAGGAATTTCCTGAAAAGTAGAAATTGATCCATAAAACATCATGAAACTATGTATGTTGGTAGCAGCAGTTCATGATGGATCCGGTTGTGGGAATCGGGGAAATCCTCCACAAACTCAGAATGATTTCATGAGTTGCCTCATTTAATTGGGGATGGTTTCAGGGTTTCCCATATGTCCAACCTAACATTACCCCCAAAAAAACTTCACCAACTAAACGGAGGGTAAAACCATTGCTGAATTGTGGGAACTGTCTTGGTGACCTGATTCAATCCCCGTAGGTTGTTGACTCCCTTCAAACACCCTCAAATTCAGCGTGGTCTTAGCATCGCCCTTCCAAACCTTCTCCCCAATGCCACCAAACACACTGACGTGTTTCGCCGCTTTACAAGGAGCACCTTGCATAGAAAAAACAGTCGCGTCACCGGGCTTCCGGCTTCAGGCATGGCCGCTGCTCCTAGGCGCCTGCGCTATGAAACATAATTATAAATTGCAAACCACCTTTAAAGTGGTACATGAATTCCCTGACTCTGCCGCCCACCGAAGGGTCCGGGACCACAGTTCACACCGATTTGTGTTTAAACAAACAGTGTCACACATCAAAACAAATTTCGAGGTAGCCCGTCACGCTCAGCTCAGCTGGCGCGATTGAAAGTGGGGCACCCAAAAGGAAACTTGAATTGGAGATGTCACTCCTGAAGCCTGAATTAGGTCAATACAATTTGCCCTGGGCGAAGCTCCATGCCGGGCGTGCCTGTGTGGCATTGGCGGCGTTGGACGGCTATGGCCTGCAAAAGGCTTCGAGCTGAGAAGGGTCTGGCTCACTCGAGCAAGTTCTTTGTTGCTGTTGACCTTTCCCCCTGCAAAAAGTGTTTGAACTTTTTGGGGGGTTTCGTGGAAAACACCTTTATTTCAACCAATTTGTTAAAGTCTAAAGATCCAACCCAATAGCAGTCAAGAGTTTTGGGGAATCACTCACTGTCGAACTCAGAGTGCGATTGCATTCTAAGTACCAAGCAATTGCTGACCCTTGAAGTCAACCTGGTTCCGAAATGGTACAAAGTTGGCCCCTTCGTGAACCCCGAAAAGAAGCATACGTGGTTGACAGCGGTTGGTTGATTTGTTGAAACTCTTTGCAAATAAGGGAACTCCCGCAAAAGGATGGTTCCCGTTGGCTTTACTTTGGAACCAACCAAACGAAGGGGGCCCTCAGAAAGACCCACCCGTGTGGGCAGTATTCTGTTGTGGTCCCAAACAAGTCTGATTGGGGTTGAGGTTGAACAAATTGGCATGCCTGTATATAATTTATAACATGTGATATCCGTGGTTTGACTTGTTTGGGGGGCATGCGTCAAGTTTCTATCCAAGTTTCAACCAAGGACGTAACGTTCAACCACAAATTGCCACACCGCGGGACCACATCCAAGGTGGTTGCAACCACCAGGTTTACTCCGCACCGCGTCGGAGACTCCCATGGATCGGTTTTCGGGGTTCCATGCAGGTGTTTTGCAACGGCAGCAGGGAGGAAAATGGAGGTGTGTCTGCGTCTGAGGGTACTTTTTATTTTTGTTAAATTAAGTGAAGGCCAAAAGGAACAGAGTCATGTTGGGGGTCACCTAAAAAAAGGACACACTCACTTCCAAGGACCGATAAATCAAGGGGTACCAAATACAATAATGATTTTCCAAACATACTATCTACCCCCCCCATATGAAAAGGGGCATCTAATATAGTAAAGTTGGTTGTCCGGGAAAAACCGGGACTTCATCCGAAACAAAAATAGTTTTGTCCAGAGTTATTGGTCCGCTCAGTCGATAAATTTCCAAGGGGGTAGTACATGGCCACCCCAAATACTCAATAGTAAAAATGACAATTCAGCAAAAGGGACACCCAAAAGCGTGGACAAAAACACAACAACTACTAATCAATAGAAAACCAATACTAAACCAATACTAAGCTAGCACAAGGGCAAAGCCGGTACTCCAACAATTCAAAACCAGTACTCGGCAGAGAGGACCAAAGAGGACCAAAGAGGACCGAAGAGGGCCGAAGACAACCAAAGCAATACTAAGCCAATACTAAACTACCACAAACCAATGCTAAGCCAGTGCTAAGGCAGCACGAAGCAATACTAAACCAATACTAACCGCAATACCAAGTCAGGACTCACGCAGTATAAAGCAACACTAAACCAATTCTAAACCAGTACTAAACATGGGAAACGCCAATCTGAAACCAAGTTGGCTTACCGGTTTTCTTTACTGGGCCCCCGAAAATTGCTTGGGGGGGGGGAGGGGTGTCCGGGCCTATGGCCGGCGCCTCCGACACAGAGGACCATCTGGGGCCTGCCAGGGACAGGTTGCCCCTTTTCTTGCGATTGGTGCGATAGGCAGGGAATGAGTTGGAATGCCCCTACGCTTTCCTTTAAGGGAATGGGGAATCAGGTTCATTGCCTCATTCCCTGCTGAGCACCTCTTTTGGGGGGGTCTATTGGGCACTTTGGATGGTGCTCAAAGGGAAACCAAAAAGGAACCAAGCTTGTCTGGGGTCAGACAGCGATTCTTTCTTGGTGTTGGCTTGGGGAGCAGCTTGAACTTCAAACTCTGGATTTGACAGTAACATCATCTACGGCTCGCATTGACCGCTCCCCCCCAACTCATTTGGCCAAAATGGCTGGAATATGGGTGTTTTTTTGGTTGGACCCATAAAAAAAAGGCAAACCGGTTTTCCTTCTTCCAAAAGGCTGGGGCTGCCCTCAAACTCAGAGACAAATTCACGTGGCCTATAGCCCCCCTAGGGGGACAACACAAAGAAAAAACGATTCGCCTGGTGCTGCGAAGGCCCAGCGTGCGGCCTCCAAGCCTAAGCCAAGCTTTGGACACTTCCGCTATTGCCTTCCAACGGGAATCTATCTATCACTGGTGGAAAAAATAGAAGCATATTTTTTCCAGGGACCTTATACAAGCAAATGAAAGAAATTCCGAAAGCAAGTCTTGGAACATGCGTTTTCACAATCTGATCTGTGTGACACCCGCAAAATCTGCTTGCTTTTCTTTGTTTCTGACTTTGTGGTTTCTGTTGTCACCTTAAAGGTGACGCACATGGTGATCCAAAGGTGACACACGTCCTCGAACGTGACAGCACATCGCTCTTTTGGTTCAATGTGGCTGCTTTGTATGCATTTCACCAAGCAAAGGCTCAGAAACAACCGACAAATCTGAAATGCCACTGGTACTCCAAATATGCCCGCGCATGGTTCCGGGCTGTTGCCACGGTCATCGTTCAACCCAAAACCCAGCATGTAAAGAACAACATGTAAATGTTCCCAAACCTCGACCCTACCCGTCGACCGCCTCCACACATCGGCCCATCAAAACTACCCGTGACAAGCCGTCCCAAAGCTCTACGGGTTGATTCCTTGTCCATTCTTTTCAGCCATCCTTCTTCTCAAAAACCGATCGCCATTTCCCCAGGGCATTTGGTTTCTAGAAAGACTCGGGTTCCTGGAAAGAATGGAAATGGAAGTTACCCCTAGGAAAGCGGCTCTGAGCTTCTCACCGACCGCTACCACGGCCAAAGCGAGGCCATGCCGGCGTAGGGACCTCAGCGAGCGAATACTCCCCCCCCCCCGCCGATTCTTTTGTTTTGGTGAAGGGACACCAAGAGGAACACCACTATTTTGGGGGTCATCCCCCAAAAAAGCCGCCCCTGGTAAACCGTTGGCTTCTTTTTGCGGCCTGTGAGTTTGCAAAGCCTTGGTGTTTGAGACGTTTGACTTGGCACTCGGTTGCCGTCGATAGGCTTCAAGGGATTCCCAAAATCACTTGCGCTGGAGCGCATCAAATGGCAGATCCTGGGCAACCGCGCCTTCGGACCATAGCTGGTCAAATGCAGCTTCCGGCTTTGTCAAGCTGGGTGAGCACCACTGAAAGTGGCCCATGAATTTACAGATGTTCAGTACTGTCGGTGTTGGCTCTACTGACTGCTTCACTGCTTTACAACTTCTCTTCAACCAGATCTGTGCGCTGTATCGTGCTCGAGACTTCCCAGCTGCCATGTTCACCGCGGTAGACATGGGTTCGACACAGGCCAACCTGCCAACATCTCTTCGTATGAGCAAAGAGTCAGTATTAGAAGCAGCATGTATAAGGCCACAAACATGTCCCTGGATGAATAAACCTAGATTCATAGGCTTCTTGCCCCTCGCAAAGTGCAGGAGAGGAAGAAACACCCTATGAATCCAGGGGTTTATTCATCCGCCAACATTCGCACCAAGGCCTTCTCGGGCTCCTTCTTGGTCCTTGCGATCAATTCTTCTGCGCTTCGGTGGGGGGATTCATTTCAGCTTGTATTATACACCTTCGCGCTCTGCCAAACCACTTTCGCGGAACCGTTCCGACTGTGTTGAGGCCCCCGGTGTTTGTGTTATTCAAGTGAAATGTTCTGCCCAGGGCGCATATGTGCCAAGGCTCCAAAAAATATGTGTTGGACAAAAGCGACGGGATGGGGAAGATCAAATCCACTGCCCCAGCCTTTTGAAGCGCACATCAGCCCACTGTGGTGCTCATCCTCTTCCTTTTCCCGGCTGAAAGTGGCTCCTGTGGTGCCTGTTCCGAGGTAGCACCGCACAGCTCCAGGTACGTTGCTTCTTGATGCTGGCTTTGACGGGATGATTACAATTGAACAACTGCGTGCTGCTCAAAAACAACTGGACAAGGTCCTTTTATATGCAAACACACACACACACACACAAACCATGACATCCCTGGGCGCTGGACATGTTGGATCCTAAATTGGACATCTCACTGACTGATATTGCTGCTTACCACAATCCCGACTCCGGTATCCAAACACGAAAGATCGAGCCAAGGTATCTTTACGAAAACAACAAAGCTCGAGCAAACCGTGCAGTCCTCGACTGGTGTTTGCTCACCATTGTCCTTATCAAGCCGCCAATCCGCACTGAGGACGACTTTTACAGTGCCGGGTGTCCATCTTTACGATCTGACTATGGGATGCAGGTCTGCGGGGTCAACACTTAAGTGGACATGTATGCATGGAAAAGACAGGACCTGAGAACCCCGCCTGGTGTGACATCTTCAGTGACGTCAAGACTGGTTCTGAGTTCCTCGCGACAATGCCGGTGGCTCCTGACGGTTGGTTCGCTCGCCAAGCGGTCGCAAACGCGACAAACACACAGCGTCAACTCATATGTGCTGCTCTGGGGTACCTTGTTCGACCCTCCACCATTCTTCCTTTGCATAGTGCATGCATATTGCCTTTGCCTGCCCATGGCTTGTCCATTGGCCGCGCATGCTCCAATTTCTTAGCAAGTGTATTTCATGTTTTTCCATATCCAGTTGCAGTCAGCATGTTCAAACTGCGTTCTGATCTCGATTCTGAGAAGATAATGTTGCTTTACATAAGCACCCGTAAATCAAATGCCGCTCGTTGCAACTTGTTTGTTCAAAACAAGGAGATCCACAAACTGCGTTCCCGGAATTTGTCATGTCTACGGCGTGCCCCTCAACCCACGCAGTCTTTGCCTAGTTTGCTGCCAGAATGTTGGCCACCATGTACCGCTTTGCACGTATCCAGACCAAAACAGTACATAGAAAACGCTCCCACCCACACACACACACACACACCCGCACACACCCACACAAACAACGCATGCATTTGTCGGGGGGTCCGGAGTAATCAATGCAGGATGTTGTAGGCCCGAAAGCCAGAGAATCTGCAGAGGGAGGCTGACAGGGCCTCATAGAGCTCACAATCGCCCTGCGGCTTTTCCAAGTTATATGGGTGTGGCTCAAACTTAAAGCGCCAGAGTTCCGCAGACTTTAGTCTTTGGTTCCATGTACCAAGGTGCCATTTTGGGGTTACCCTATTTTTGCGCCACAGCTATATGGATCAGGCCAAGTTCCATAGGCCATAAGTGGCCAAAGCAAGGATAACTCAATCACAGGAGCTGCAAGCGTGCTTGGGCTCAGTGCTGCGAGCATTTATGTGCGTTCTTTCATTTTCTTGGGGGGATGCAAATGTGCACCACTTTGCACCACTTTGCTTGTGAATGGTGGTTTTTCCTTTTGATGCATGGTTTGTCACGCCAAAATGGCCAAGAGGCGTCACAACCAAATTCAACCAACACGCAGACATGTACAAGCAAAGCAAATGTCGAATGTGTGAGCAATAGTCAGAGACAAAGAGAAAGAGAGACAGGGAGAGAGAGAGAGAGAGAGAGAGAGAACTAGCAAGATGGCGAGAGCGAGATTGGGTAACACAGTGCAGGTCTTACAGGAAACAGAGTTCAACGGAAACTGTTTGGACATGTTTGGGCCTCTCAAAATGACTTTTGGGGGCGCATGTCCTTTCCACTACCATTTGAGTCGTAATCACAGTCGAAACCATGGTATCAAGAAGCCTACTCAAAATCGTGGAAAGAATCACAAGGGATTCTTGTCGCAACTAGTTGTGGTAGGGGGACTGCCTGCTGCTGAACCTCAATTGCGGAACTTTTGACATGTTATTTTTAGGTTGCTCCAATCAAACGTTAGTGCCTTGAGTGTCATTTCTGACCCCGAAGCCCGAAGCGCGTCGCGCGTCTTCACAGCGAGGCGTCTCCTGCCCCATCGCGCCGTAGAAGTCTCGAAGGATCAGCAGAAGTGCCTAGCGCTGGCGCTGGCGCTGGCGCTGAAGATTTGGGCCCAGCTGAAGCCAAACCTCCTTCCCAGATTATTACTCACAGATTATGGATGGACGTTAGGATTTGGGCCAGCCATCAGCCTCCTGGGCGTGATCAAAAGACAGTCCAGGTAGGTCGAGCGCGATTGACTCCGCCTCTTGCCCAAAAAATGATTGAGGTGTTGCAAAGCAGTAGGTGGTCTGCATCGATGGACACAGGATCCAATGGATCAACAATTGTACGCTTCCTGTGGCAATTCACTTGTATGCCATGCAAACATTTGCGCTCCAACTCTCATGCAAACATGGCGATAGTGATACGGTCAAGTTTAGGTCGCTTAAGCAAGCAGGCCCACGTCGTCTAGTCGCCCCGGACGTGGCACAGTCCCAGCTGCTTGTTGGTCCGAGCGGTTTGTTCGCAACATTTTTACGTGCGGATGCTGTCTTACATGGGGCAAACCACCTTGACCTGCAAAAGGAACGCACTGTGGGCAATTCATCTATGATCCAACTGGAGGGACACACAAATTTGGCAAGCCTGTCGTGTGTGACACCATGTTGAGGCGTCCAACTGAAGACAGGCAGTGGAACCGGTCTTGCTCCGGGGAAAGAGAAAGGGGGAAACCAAAGGGACAGGAACCTAATCGTATGAGGAGATACTTAACTCAGTCCGGGGAAACCACTTGGTTTCTCAACCTTCTGGTTTCTAAACTCGTGAGAAACGGACACAAATCCAATGGGACCCCAAAAAACCTCAGCCGGGGGCCCTCCATGCGACATGCCTTCAGCGGACTTTTTTCCGTGAGGTGAGACTTCATCCGGCTCAGCGCGGGAGCTTCAGCTCAGCCACCGCCTAAGCCCATGCGATGAAAACTCCGGGAACCTGGTGGTTTTATGTGCCCCAGGTCGTTCCACGAACCGAGGTCCGGGAATTTTGGGGTCGGTTCATACGCCTCTAAGGGAAGCCTCCAGAAAATCCAGCCATTCCAGGTTGATCCAGCCCGGTGTAGAGAAAACTAAAACCCCTTCTTAGTGGGCTATGGGCGACCTTTGGGGGGGCTCAAGGTGTTGCGGGGCTCCGGATCCGGAATCCCGCGTATCTGTCGGGATCGAAACCCTAAGCAAGTCGAGCCTGACAAAAAGACGCAAAGTGCTCCTCTGGCACTTTTGCCACCTTGAACGCCGGGTGTGTGCTTGAACTAGTAGTTGACCTCCTTAGAAAGGCTCGCTTCCTTTTGAATTACTGTTTATGGCCTAGCTAAAAAGGGTTAATTGTAGGACGATCAATTGTTTGATGGGGAGCTAATGTTACTCGCATTCTCGACGTTCGATTCCCCTTTTTGTACGCCGTGACAAACTTGGATGTTCCAACCAATTACAAGGTAACTCGGTTGGAAGCATGGTTGCACGTCGGACAACAGGATACAACAGGGGTTGATTGGCTTTTAACTTATACGCATAGTTACGCAAGAGCAGGGCCACACAAGTGCAAAATATGGTCAAATGCTGGGGCCACATTAGGTCAAAGCGCCACATGGGACTCTATCGCACCAGGCCCCCCAAAAATGCTGGGCATTCAAACATATGTGGATCCTGCCCGCTGCCTTTAGGGGATACCAGAAAGCCCCCGCCCAATTTCGACAATCCCCAACTTAGTTGGGTGTGGCTCAAAATTAAGAAGCTAGCGTTACGCGGGTTTTAGTCTTTGTTTCCATGTACCAAGGTGCCATTTTGGGTATCATTTTTTGAGCCACAGCCAGTTGAGTCCATTGAGATGTTGTTGCACTCGTTTTGATCCGTGAGCAGGCCTCTTGCACACAAGCCAGCCCTTCCAGTGTATCTTCAAAGCCGATTTGAGATGCTTGACCAACATGGCTGTCGGTCAAAACTAATGGGATCCCATTTTGGGGTAGGTGAATTCACCACCCATTTTAGAACCTATTTTAGTGGGGATTCGGATGTTCACTGGGGGTACGGGCTTTTGACCCATGGCCACATCGTTGCGCGGAAAAACCACCTTGTGAAACATGAGTCATTCCAAGGACTTTGTCACTAAAGGCCTCCAATGACAGAAAGTGCCAACCTGAACCCCTCATTTTTCACCAACTTGGGGTTGTCCTTTAGGACTCTCTTTGCACACACACACACACTAGCAAGCAAGCCAGCAGCACAATCAAACAAACAAACATACCCAAAACAAGCCTAAAAGACGAAACAACACAACAAACAAACAAGACAACACGACAAAACAAAACAACGCAACAAATAGGCAAGCAAGCAAGCAAGCAAGCAAACAAACACAAACTGACACACAAACACACAAACAAACAAACACACAACACACAAACACACAAGCACACAAACACACAAACACACAAACACACAAACAACAACAAACACAAAACAACGAAATTAACAAAACAAACAACACAAGCAAAGCAAGCACCACCCAAACCCACACACCCACACACTAAAACAAACAAACAATCACACACACACAAACCCACACACACACACACCAAAACAAACAAACAATCACACACACACAAGCCCACACACGCACACACTAAAACAAACAAACAAACAATCCCACAAACACACAAACAAACAAACCAACAAAACAAGGACACAAACACACAAACAAACAAACCAACAAAACAAGGACACAAACACACAACCAGTCAACCAACCAACCCGCCCACCCACCCACCCACCCACCCACCAACCAACCAAAACAATCAATCAAACAAACAAACAAACAAAGAGGAATGAAATAACTAAAGAAATAACAAATAAGGACAAAAAGGAAAATAAAGAAACAAATACAGCAAGAAACAAGCAATCAACCGAACACACAAACAAACCAACAACCGAACAAAACACACACACCCAATGAGGCCATTCGGTTTCGCAACATTTCACCCGCCTTTTGCTCCGCCTGCAGCTGCGCCCGAAGCGCGGCCAGATCCGCTTCCTGCGGGATCCGGGATTGATCCGGGTGTTGCCTTCTCTGTGAAAAATGCGAGAAGGATGTTAGCTCCCGTCCAGTAGACAGGTCAGAACAAGGGTGCCAACCTTTTTTTCTGTCTATCTTAGTAGGGGAACCCAAAAGCCCCAAAAAGTGGGTAAAAGGGCACTACTGGGACCTAGTCCCTGCAAATTCGCATGGATATGGGTCAAAATTTCACTAGCAGGCCGGGTTTTAGCCCTTGTTTTTTCACTTTCCAGGCTCCATGTTGGGATCACCCTATGTTTCACCCACACCCACATGGAGCCCGGAACTCCTTTTCCCGGGTTGTTTCTGCCGGTCCTGCTCGGAGGCAGAGCTCCGCAGTTCCTCCTCGGCCTCCTGATCCGAAAGACGCCAAGACCATGGGATCTCAAGCGATGAAATGCCGTCATACTGTGGATGGACGAAATCCGTTCGCACCACTTTGAAACCATGGGAAACCACTGTCTGTTGGTATTTACAGGGAATCAGACCATTCCAGGGCTTCTTAGGTGGTGCAGGATTTTGTCCATCCACAGTATGAACAGCGGAGAAAAGAAAGAACTACCAGCGCAAATTGCAACGGCAATTTGCGATTTTTGCAGAATGATCAATTCATTTTCTACCAGCGGACCTGCGTAATCGCGATTGGCTGCACGGATCAAACAAAAAGTCACATTGTTATCCAATTTGGCCATCCAGTTTTTCTCTCTGAATTGACGTCTACATACTGTTGGCCTTTCATGTCCAGTTTGTACCAGGGAACCGTTACCTTGCAAAGGTTCAATGCAAAGGATCGATATGGGTATGGCTCAAAATAGGGGGACCCCCAGAATTGGGCTTTTCCGGTTGGCTTCCCTTTGCCACCCCGAAAGAGTACCCTCAAAAACACCCACACACACACACAGAGCCACATATTGCACTCACACACACACACACATTCCACGGGCGAAAATCAGCTAAACAGAAATCCGAACTTGGACGGATGCCCCTTCAAACATAGCTCTTTATGTCTGACATTGGCGGTTCAAGCTCACAGCATCTACCCAACTCTGCCTCCTGCGGCTCGCGTACTCGCGATGAGAGCTTGCACCGTTCACAGCACCCACGGGTTGGAGGGATATTCCCAAACAAAAGCCATGACAAATGCCCATTCATCCCAACCAAGCCTTACGAGGCTTTTGAAAACCCACCCAGAGTCCATCTCCTTTAGAGCAACCCGAAACATCAAATGCGACTATGTTGGAGGTAACTCAACCCCCCTATTTCACCGTGCTTTGAGAAACCACACCTAAAGGACATCAGAAGGTAGAAGGTAGGATGAAACCTATGAAACATGTGACACACATCATGTCACTTTAACCCAATCGTGCCACGGACACTCAGCTGATCTTGCAGCACCCTCAAAAACCAAGCACGAGGGAAGTTCTGCTGGCTGCCAAATCACAACAAACCAAAAAACAAAGCAAAAAAAACAACCAGCGAGTGAGGAGATCTTCTCGAGCCGGGGACACCTGTTCAGTGCATCCACCATCCACTCCCCCCCCCCAACGGGTCACCACCCGACGGGTCCGGCTCCCCGCCTTCCGCCGGGCGGCGAGGCGCTGCGCCGCCTGCGCCTGCGCCTGGAGCGCCGCCTCCAGGTCTCGGCACCGGCGCCGCGTGGCCTCCGAGCCCGGGCGAGCGGAGGGTGGGGGGGGGGGGGGGAGGGAGGGTGGGGGGAGGGAGGGTTTGTGAGTATTGGGGGATCCTGCAAACCATTTGAAGCCGCCAGGAAAATGGGGAAACCCACTTCTCCGTCCTTTTTTTTTTTTGGGGGGGGGAGGGCTAAGCTTTTTGTCTTCCCCGGGCTTGCTTCCATTTGGCTTGGCTGACATACGGTCAAAACTGGGGGTAGGTAGCTCATGTTGCTTCTTTTCGTGCTCCCTGCGGGTTCCCTGCTGGTACCTACATGTGTTCTTGGGTTTCCTTGTTGTTTTGGGGTTGCAAGTCGGCC